AGGAGGGAGTTGACTACGTGTATGGAAAGTATGAAATGAACACAAATAAAAATTCAAATTAATATCCTGGGGAGCCAAAACGAATCCTGTCTCTTCCCAAAAGTTGCAAAAGCACAGCTAGGCATGTTTTATGATGAGGCAGACAACGACCAGTGATTAGGATTGGTGCTTCTGTGCAGGTACAGGTAGTACATGGGGCTGAACAGCTGCAGAGCGAGTTTCCAGGGCTGCAAGCTACCCACACCAGGACGATTGTTTATCTTACCTACAAGAGAGAGGGATGTCTTATCGGGGACATGCGGTCACTGCACTTTGTCCATATGTTGGCTCACACTGGTGCTTGGGGACAGCACACCAAAAAAAGCATGTTGTGTTTGGTTTTGTTTTTTTTGTTTTTCCTGGAATACTCCAAAATAGTTCTGCAGCTGAATCCAGCACTGGGACCCCTGGCAGAGCCTCTCGGACGCTGGTGGGGCTCTCCGGGGGATCACCCACAGAGATGCCAGCAGGACTGGGGTCTGCAGAGTTAGTGAATACTAGGTCTGTGAATAGGAGGGAGCAAGAAGAGGTGGGTGGCGAGCAGTCCTGCTCTGGAGGCAATGCTGGCAGCCGTGCGTTCAGCCGGGCCACGGTGCACGCGTTCTTGCAAGGGAAGACCGTGGGAAGCGGGAGGCTGCCACGCTGCCTGTGCTTAGCTCACACCAGAGGAATTACTCAAAAGCTTAGGGGTAAGCAGGTGCTTAAATACTTCGCTGGCCCGGGGCCTGAGCGCGTACAGCCTGAGGTATTGCCCTCCTACGAGCCAGGAGCTGCATCGGGGCCAACGATGCACTGAAACCCCTCCTCTGCGTGCAGCTCCCTGTCCCCACTGCCACCGGGACGCTGTGAGGACATGTGGGCTTGTGCTGCTGCTCCAACATCATCAACGGGAGCAGCATAAATGGGCCAGCCAGCTCTGTCCTCACCGTTTGGCTATGTATTTTTTTATTTTCCTTCCCATAGAGGAGTCGATTCGAGCAAATGACAGGAGCAAAGCGTTGGGAGGAGCGGGGCAGGTGGGAAGAAGACGTCAGATGTTGGGGAAATCGCCAGCAAAGCTATCTTTGAACACTGCAGAGCGGGTCAGGGGGGAATAACCAGAATGTTGAAGTACTCGGAGAAGACCTTATGCATGCTGAGATAGCATCAAGGAAATCTTTCTTTTGACATATTGGCAATGCCTTCTGAGAAACTACTCTATTTCCAGCTCTTTATGGCATTTAGCAGTAATGAACTGTGTCTTCTGTATTAATAAATTATGATGTCACTTTGGTTTATGAGTTAAGCAATATCCTCTTTGGTTATTTATATTACCAAATGTATGAAAGAAAACTAGAAACAAAGTGATTTCGAACACTTTCTGCACACATAACTCTTGTGCTACATCCATAGAGCAAGATAAAGATATAGTGTTCAAAAAAGGAAAAGAAACTAGAGGTGAAAAAACCCTAAAAAAAACCCCTCTTCCCTAGTCATGTTGCTTACTGTACCATGTTTTCATAGCTTCTCACCAAGATGTTTTGTCACCATCATCCATTTTTTTAAACATACTCACAATAGCTTACACTCTCTGGTGTACCTTGTCTCTTGGTCTCAAAGCCACATACAATTATATTTAACCACAGCTTTGAGAGGGATGGGGTGTTCAAGGATCATCACCAAGGTCACATAGGGAAGCAGTGGCAAAGCTGAGAACACATTTTACTGATCACCAGTTGAATATCTCCCCTATTAATAAGTATTAGAGTTAAATGAAGTTAATCTTTTTTTTTTCTTTCTGCCCATCCATTTCCCTAGTTCTATGCCACAGATCTTTTCTGTGTTTTTTTCCCCAGGAAAATCCCTGGTTTTAGCACCTGGATTTGTGCTGGAAGCTAGATTTATGATCGTTGTCTTCTAAAAGGGGCCAAAATCCAACTGCTTTATTCACGCCGACAGTCATATTGGTTTCAGGGGGAGTAATTGCCTGAGGAGGATGAACAGGATTTAATCCAAAGTCAATAAAATGACCAAGCACTTACCTTACAGCCAGTAACAGCCCTTGCTTATCTCCTGGCCCAAGACTCTCTCTTAAAACAGGTGCCTAAATATCTTTATGCACTGCAAGTATCTCAAAAGCGCGGCCACGCTCCATGGGCAGCAGGCTGAATATCTTCTACAGGGTATTGATGGGAAATCCACTTGGGTCCCAGCCTCCTGCAAACCCTTCGAAAATCCCAGTTGTACGGCTGGTGTCCAGAGTCCTTAAGGCAGAAGTCTAGGCCAGTTCAAGGGATGTCTTCTGTACAGCAACCAAAAGGTTTGGGTATGAAACTATGAAATGTGGTCAATGTAGACCACAGTTCATCTTCTCACAGCTGTTGGGTCCGGAGTAGCTGCACTTGCTTTTTCCAAGGAAACCAAAGACATAAATTGCCATCTGCCCTGGTCGCACTGAGACAGGGAGCCTCTCCTAGGCTGGGTACAATGTGCCTCCGCAGGGAGGAACCATCCCCACCGTGAAGGGCAGCACGACCTGGTGCGGCACGAGCAGCTTTCAGCCACATTTGCTCCTGCTGTTCACATGGTTATTTGAGTAACAGCGGATGACAGCTCACCTGCTTTAACTGGGACAGCTTCGAGACTTTGATGGATGCTAACCGGTTGCTAATAAAGGCAGTCACTTGTAATTTAAAGAAAATACGTATCGCATACTTAAAATCATATATGCCATATCTAATCTCTGCAGCGATACAGTTATATAGAGAAAAAATTAGGGGTCAAATACATTGAGAAAATTGGGAACAGGGATGTTGTTGCTTTGACATGATCAAACAGTATGTACAAGAGGAAAAAAAGGTTATTTTATTGTGGCTAGCTTTCCCTGCAAAGTCAAACATGCATATCTTACATGCTGGGAAGTTTAATGGGGACAGAGAAAAGAGGTGGATGCAGGATTGATCTTCCATAATTATTATCTGAACCAGATTGTATTTGCTGATTCCACTTGGCATTAACAATCGAGGGTAAAACAGCTGTGAAAGAATTCACAGCACTGGCGAGCAATGAGAAATTAAAAGAATTACTTTTTTAGAAATTGAAAGATTAAACGAGGACACTGAAATAACACTAAATTTTCTCAAGTAATACATCTTCAGGATGTCACTTGGATTTTCTCTGCAACACAAGAATAATCATTACCCTTTTATGCCCAAAGGCCCTGATTAAGTATGTTCTTAAATTAAGCACATGCTTGAATACCCTTCCTGGATGAGGATGTTTTTTGATTCGAGCCCAGCTACCATCTCTCATGTGGCACGCAGTTGTAATTTCATGTCCTTTACACAAAATGAGTCATGTTGCACAGCTTTTCCATAGCCAGACACTGTCCTCTGTAAAACATTGCCTGCTCTTGTTCCTCCCTTTGCCAAAAGGCAGCACAAACCGGGTGACGATGACAAGTCAAACAGCACACACACCGTCAGACATAGAAATGGCAAGATCTGGGCTGCAGCTTCATGATGACACAGTCTTTCCTATTTCTTCTCCTACCCGCGAGGTCACACAGCATTGCATGGGACTCCAGAAACCTCCGATTTTTTTCCCCACTGCGATTTTTACACTGGAAATAAAGTGGGTTTGGCGAGGTTGAACCCACATAGACACACAGACACACACTCCCGCATAATCGCATTTATACAGATATTTCCTCAAGGCATCAGCAGTCCAGCCAAGTGCCAATCACAGGGTTGCAGCACACAGATCCAGAGCAGCGGAATTGGCAGGGAACAACGGCTTGGACGGGGCTCGCCACATCACCCCAAGGACCGAGGGGCGTTTGGTTCCCTTTGCCCCAAGAGCAGCTCAACAAAATGCTGCTGACCCAGGGACCCCCTTGGAGATGCCACCCCCAGCTTGACAGCTGGGGCCAGGAGGGAGCCAGATGTGCCGCAGCTGGCCAAAGGCTCCCCCACTTGCCAAGTCAGACTGGGCTATGGAGAAGCCGAGGACTAGTCTCGTCCTCGCTCCTTTTTCCCTGCTCCCTTCACTCCGTAGCAAGCCACGGACCGTGGAGCCGGACCAAGCAGTGCCCGTGCACTGTCGAGTAACAAAGTTCAGCACACGGGTGATCTGCTAAATTACAGAGGGTTCCCCATTAAAATAAATGACGAAAGATTCACCCTGAAAGCAGAGGTTCGAAGTCAGCTGCTGTGATTTCCGAGGACTGATGCCCATTGACAGCAGATAATAATAATAATATCTAGCTCTTGAACACGCAATTACATAAAAGACAAGACCAATTAGAAATGGGTCTGACACACGCAATTCAGGCTGGCTTCTGACAC